TGCAAAATGTGGTTTGATCTGTCCCATTTGTGCTGAACTTGCTCAAGTGTCTCTTTTTATTTTTAAATCAAGAACTGTTATTGTGGTGAATGAAATGACTATGCTCCCACTGAAATGTAATGCCTTACTGGTACTTGCATGTTCCCCCACGTGCCCAGGGATACCTCTAGTGATCTGTGGGTAGAGCTGCAGTCTCCTGTGGAGTAAACTGGAGGGAGCTGCTCACCAGCCCTGAATGCCTGTTAGGCCTACCTAGGTGTGGGTGGCTGCTGGTATTTGGAGTGTTTTTTGTGGTGGTGGTGAGGATAGGTTCCCAGGGATGCCAGACATGTTCTCCCAGATGCCATGATATCTCGAATACATTTGGAGGTAGAGGGATCAGGTACTCTGCATATTAAACACACCTCTCATTTCAGCACCAGAAATCTTAACTTTCTTTCACAATATTCTTGGTTTTGAGCAATTTTAGGAAATTTTAGTACCTGTTACTACTATTATAAATTACTTAATTTCATAATTACATAATGTAATCAATTAAAAAAAATTAAAACAAGAACTGAACCTGACTCAGCAAAACGAGGTATGAAAAATTCCTAATAGTAAGGTAAAGGGTTTATTAATTTATTGTGCTATGCATTCTTGACATCTTTGTCACTAGCATCTTCATAACTCGATTTTCTGACACTGATAATTTTAAGGCTATCTAGCTATTCATAAAGAAAGAGTTTCTCAAAGCCTAGCCTAACATTGAACTTATATGAAGAAGAATCTAAAATGGATGTCCTTGAAATTTGTCTTTGGATCTGACGATATATTTTATTAAAAGAAAGAAAGAGAGGGACAGTTCTAATATGTTAGCTATTCCCACTGATTATAAACTCTTTATTGGCATTGGGTCAAATTAAAATTAAATTCCTCTCTTCATTCTGGTGTTGGACTACTTAAATTTTCTTTTGGAAACTGTGGTATGCTGATGTTACCACATATGAAGCTTTTATGGGGTCTGTGTTTTCTCATTAAGGAAAGAAGTCTATGCATGAAGACACCAGAGCCTGTCCTGTTTAAAGCACAAAGTACACAGTTAGCAGCTGTTCAAAAACTTTTTCTTGTTATCTCTATTTGTTTAAATTGCTAAATTGCTTCCATAAAATGCCTGCAAACATAAGGGAATAATTTGTTTAAGTGGATCAAGACTGTCTGAAAAGAAAAATTGAAAATGCACTCAATATTTTTCCTTCCCTCCTCTTGTTCTAGTATCCGGCTGCCCTGATGAATCTTGGAGCCATTCTTCATCTCAATGGTAAACTCAAAGATGCTGAAGCAAACTACCTCCGTGCTCTTCAGTTTAAGCCAGATGATATCATCACACAGTCAAATCTTCGCAAATTATGGAATATCATGGAAAAACAAGGTTTAAAGACATCTAAAACATGACAGAAAAATTCAAGGAACTTCTTTTTCTTTCAGTTGAGACAAATCCAAAACAAAACTTCCAAGAATTTATCTGATGAAAGCTCTCATTGGACTTGACTGGGTCAGAGGGTCTTAATTGCTGCTAGGAGAACCTGTTCTAATTTTTGGCATGACTTTTTTATTAGAAAAATAAAGGGAAATTCTTTGGGAGCTTCATGAAAGACTTAAGGATTACCCCACAAAAGTAAAAAAATTAAACCACAGCACTTAAAGGAAGGTGTTTTGGCATATTTGAGAAGTTATCACAGTTAATCCCATATTGCTCATTTTCATGTGAGTTTTTAAAAATTATACTGTCCTGAAAAAAACTAAGGGAGAATTGTATAGCATTCGCCCAGCCACATAGAAGTAAAAAAGGTAATACTAACTTAAAGTATTTGCTGACACTGTAACTCATTAAAACGTATACTAAATCCAATATGCTTGCAGTTTGTCTTAATGCTGCTGTATCACTCTTTAGTACCGTCTGCTTATCAATTTCAAACTGACACAGCTTTTTTTTTAAAGACCTGTCACTTGTGGTTAGATGACAATATTCACAGTTGTTTAATGACAAGTTACACATACTGTTTCAAACTGTTGAGAGTTTTGATGTAGTTTACATCAGATGCTCAGTTATTTCCTTTGCCTATCCTAGATGGAACAAGTAAGAGTCAGCTCTGTGTGTGACATTGGATCAGGATAAAAGAATTGGAAGCTATCACTAGTGTCATGAATTGTCTCTATTTACACAGAAAACAGATGTTTGCCCTGATATCAAATAAGTGCGGTGAAGCTGTAACCTTAAAACAAGTTCTCTTTGGCCTTATAGAACACTGTGCGTTACTCCTTTCACATTACTGTTGATAAGCCCAGTTTTGGACTGAACATCTAGATGCTGTTCAACTTGCATTATTTTTGCAAGAATTCAACCAGGGTGAGTTTGGAAGTGTTAGAAATGGTGCAAATGAAGCTTATCAGATTTTTTTTAAATGGAACTTTTTGTCCTCTGCTGACGGGGCGGCAACTAGCTAAAGGGATTGACTTTTAGCAGCTAGCAGAGAATCTGCAAGACATTGTAGACCAAGAGGTGTGTGTAAGAGTGGTTGCCAATTAATCAGAGTATTTTTTAGAATGGTGTTCTTTTAAAAACTATTATCCACTTGGATTCTAACCAGATACTAGGGATCCATTTTGTGACATGTACGGTTACAACAAAATTATGTTTCTAAAGATTTATTTTTTATTTGGGCTAGCTATTGTTTTAGTCTTCATAAAAAGTATAAAATAATTTATTTTAAGCTGTAGCATATTGAAGCTTTAGAGTCTGTGTTTTCCGAAGCCATTTGCTTACTGCTTTCTTTTGTTGGAAAAAGTATTATAATTTATAAGAAAATTTCATTTAATAACCTGTTGATATCTGCTTCAATGTTCATTTCATGAGTGGTAACTATAACATTAAGTGCACCTTTAATTGAAGCAAGTTTCTTCAGGATCTGTTAAAACCCTTTATAATGAAAAATATTTTTCTCTTTTTAAACTGTAGAGCACCATTCCATTGTTGTGTACTTCTGGGAGAATAGTTTGCTGTATGGTATTTATTTATTTATTACTCAATTGCAGCAACATTTTCGTTCACTAAGCCTGTAGTCTGCAACTTTCGCTATCATCTTCATTTGGCTTTTGCTGCTTTATGTGGGTAGCATGTGTACTTAAAGGGAAATGTAACACCTGCATTTATTGTACATTCTCCCCATACACACTACAGTTTTAGATCTGTATTAAAGGATATTGAGGAGCAGTTATTTCAAAATTGATATAGTCACAATTTGTAATAATAATTTGTCTTTTTGTTTCCAGTTAGCAATGCTATGTTTTAATGACTAAGTTCACAATGGGGATACCTAAAGAGCTGCTTTAAAAAAAAAAAAAAAAAAAAAAGTCAAATCTTTTGTCAAATAATGATATGGCTGTGAAAGCAACATGGAGTACTCAAAAGTTGAATTTCAACTTTTTCATCATCACCCATTGAAACCAATGGTAAAAATAAAATAGTGTCTGGAATTTATTCTTTACTTTTCACTGCGTTTCTCAGAATTTATAAAAATAAATTACATATTAGGCTATGACTGAATTCAGTAGGTAACTGTGGTATACTACAGCTTTATTTTTTGCAAGTCATCAAACTTTGGTGATCATGACTTTTCTCTGTATTCTTTGTCTCTCCCTTTCAATATGTGTTCATTCTTGTTTCGTAGTTATTCTTTGCACAACAGAGTGACACTCATAGGGAATACATTTTCATGCTAGAATTGATAACTGTCTGTTTAAAAAAAAAACAAGAAAAGAAAGAAAAGAACGAATGGAAGTTTAACAAGAATGTCCCTGAACACTTTTCAACATAGAACTTAACTCTCTGCTTTTGGAATCATTTTAAAACATATTTAAAATATGTGTCTCTGCTCAGGGATTTATGGTGGATTTTTGCAGACAGTGCTAAAAAAATAAGAGCACAAGGCAAGTTTACTAAATTAAATTTTTATTTTTTGAAAAACTGTTATTTGTATAAATTATCGAGATTTGTAGGCTTTCCTTTTTGTAGAAATAATTGTTTATGTGCCAGATAAGAAAATTTCAATTTTGTTTTCAATAATAAAGCATTGATAACAAATACATGTTGTGCACGCCTCCATCTGTTGCTATAACATTACTTAAATGAACTATATTTTACTGACTGTAGATGAGTAACATTATATGGTTCTGGACATCTACCACTCTGGTCATCTGAAGAAGTGGGCTGTGCCCACAAAAGCTCATGCATGATACTATCTACATGTGTTGTTAGTCTTTAAAGTTCTACCATACTATTTGTTGTTTTTAAGTTTATTTTATGCTTTGTGATACACAACTAGATAGGATAGCAACACAGTCATTCTATTGGATCTAGTCATTCTACAACACTGTACTGACTTTTTAAAAGATATTCAAACATATCATTAATGGCCCAGTTGGTGAATGTGTGATTGTTTGCATGCAGCCAAATACAGGTCCCCATGGCCATATGACCTTATTTTGAGAAAACAGTCACCATTTGTCTTCTGTCATGGTTTCACCATATTACAGCTACTACTATAGCCTCACAACTGCATCAGGTGCTGCTGTGCCCTACATAGGAGACTTTGCCAGTGGAAATACTCTATCACATGTGCCAAAAACCTATCCACTCGGGCATCCCAGCAACTGCTGAGCTCCTTAGTGCAGTGAGCATCAGCTTTCCCACATCTAGATCCCTTTCTGGATCTGAGGCATTCAAGATCTTGTGAACCAACAGGTGGCTAAGAGCAGGATTTCTTCCACAGTCTGCAAAGCTTTCATGGGTATGGCCCTGTTATATTGGATGGTGGCTCAGTGGCTGCCATGTCTCACTTTTATTTGAGCAAGTGAGGCCAGGCCCCACGTTGAGGTAAGTTACAGGCAATGGCTACTTGGCCTCAATAGGATTCAGTGAGAGAGCAAAGCTTATTTAGCTGCACATAGCTTGACCAGATGACTCAAAAATGGAGAATAATCTCAGAATCACAAAGCAAATTCTCTAGAGCCCTTAGCATGGGAAGAGGATTTGTACAAATGCCTGAATTCCCAGCTTCTCCCCTCATCATTCCCCCTCGAAGCTCCTTCAGCTTGATGTCCTTCCTATTGAGCCCCCAAATTCTTCTGTTCTCCACCTACTTGCAAACTCTTGAGGCAGCAGTCTATTACTCATTGCCTCTTCCACACTCTCCTTACACAACCACTGGACAAACTGATCACAGAGAACCATGGAGCACCCTGGGCATACCTGGCAGCTGGCAAGAGACATTACAGAACATCCTCTACTTAGTCACTGCAGCCTTTGAGTTGTATGAAAGAGACTTTAGCCAGGAACTGGTGCACAGGAAATCTAAAGAGAATCTTATGTAGCAGTTGAAATTTGTTCTCCCTTTTCACTTACAATCTTGAAAATTAGATAAGACTGAAACCTTACTCAGACACTGTCCAGGCCCCACCAACTGGCTACTCCCACAGCTTGAGAGAGCCTGCCTTAGCTCACACTGATGATGAATGTTTAATCACTCTGAGATGTGGTAATATAATGATAAAAAGCTGTGTCCTAAGGAATCAAATATGTGCTGTACCTGGTGTATGTCTGAAAGGCATGCTGATTGCTATAGTCACATGAGACAGGGTAAGGAATTACAGAGAGTCGCTTTCTTCCAGCACCGGTGAAGGAAATTTATTATAATTCTCAGGAAAAAAAATTAGACTCAGCGTACCTATTGGTAAATGAAGGGTAAGAATATTTCAAAGATGTTGTAATTAGCCCAAACCCAAGCATTACAGACCTACAAAACTGAGATTTAACATTACAATGAAAAGAAATTGAAACATCTTAACTTGGCTGGAAATGCAGAGTGAAAACATCAAATACAACATTAACTGTGTTCTGGGATGATGCCATGCAATGGCTAAAAGCTTATGATTAAGGAAATTTAGTGTTTGTGGTTCCAAGTCAGATGAAACTGATCTTATATATATTTTCCTCTTATGGGGCATCAATTCACTATTTTATTATTTTCCTGAGTTCAGAGCTACAGACTTATTTAAGTGTACAAGTTGAATGAAGCAATTTTTGGAGATTAGAAATATCCAAAAGATAGAAGATGAACCTTTCAAAGCAGTATAAGAAAAATGTTAGATAAGAATTATTTATATTTTGAGTGTTTACATTTACATTTACAGTCTTTAAAAACATATTAAAACTAAATACACTTTAAATATAAAACATTTTAAAATGGATTTTGTAAGCTTGGAATGCTTGTTTTTTATTTAACTCACAGTCTAGCAGACATAGCTTGTTTCAGCAAAAACAAAGAGGAGTCCTGTGGCACATGAAAAACTAAGGCTACGTCTAGACTACAAAGATAAATCGGAAAAAGAAACACAATTTGCGGTATGCAAATTGCATATCTCTTTCCAATTAATTTCCAAAAGAGGCTTTTCTGAAATTTGGCCCATCTACATGGGGCCAAATTTCAGAAAAAAAAACCCCTCTTTTGGAACATTCCTTCTTCCTCGTAAAACAAAGTTTACAGGGATGCTGACAAAACGCTTCCGCTTTTCCGAATTATTTTTTTTTAAAGCAGACACATTCCTTGCACACAGCAAAGCTTTTCCGGGAGACCTCCAGTATCCTGAAAAAAGTCTGCAGTCTAGATGGACCCTAACACAATTTGGCCCTAAATGCTATCTAACATTTTTCTTATAGTGCTCTGGAAGATCCATCTTCTATTATTGGGGGGATATTTCACTCTCCAAAAATTGCTTCATTCAACTTGTACACTTAAATAAGTCTGTAGCCCTGAAATCAAGAGCTAAAATAATAAAATAGTTGGGGCCAAATTTCAGAAAAAAAAACCCCTCTTTTGGAACATTCCTTCTTCCTCGTAAAACAAAGTTTACAGGGATGCTGACAAAACGCTTCCGCTTTTCCGAATTATTTTTTTTTAAAGCAGACACATTCCTTGCACACAGCAAAGCTTTTCCGGGAGACCTCCAGTATCCTGAAAAAAGTCTGCAGTCTAGATGGACCCTAACACAATTTGGCCCTAAATGCTATCTAACATTTTTCTTATAGTGCTCTGGAAGATCCATCTTCTATTATTGGGGGGATATTTCACTCTCCAAAAATTGCTTCATTCAACTTGTACACTTAAATAAGTCTGTAGCTCTGAACTCAGGAGTGAATTGATGCTGTATTTGCTTTAAAAGGTTGGAGGCCACTACATCAGATGCAGCATTTGACAAAGTGGGCCCCAAGCCACGAAAGTTTATGTCCAAATAAATTTATTAGTTTTAAGATGCCACAGGACTCCCCCCCCCTTTTTTTAAATTTAACTCTGCATGTATGCATGTATGTTTGCTTGTGCAAGTTTAAGGGTTCCATGTGGAAAGACATGAGTTCACATTTTTGCCTCTAAAACCATTATAAAGAACTCTATGTAAAGAGTTTCATGCTGGAAGCCATTTGCAATGCACAACAATGACAAGATGTTGGTGTCCTAGAGAATCTAGGAAAAATATAGTGTTTTCTGAAGTGCTATCTTCTGTCTATTATCTGTTAACATACTTTCTATATTCAGAGACAGCTGTGTCTTTCATGGTGCACTCTTAGAAACTTTGTGTATGAGATTTTACCATTCATGGAATTGGGTTGAGTAGCTTGAGCCAGAAGGTACTACAGTTTTGTAGTAGGCACAAATGGAAACTTAGATGAGACAGTCAAACATGAATCTGAATAATAATTTAAACTCAGATATAAAGCTAGCTTGCTAGAAATCCAAGAAGAAAGATTCTTTTGTTTCTTTGTTACTAATGTTTAGGAATTACTTGAGTGCATAGAACTTTTTCCTTTCATGCAGACAAATTATTTTTTTCATAATTTTCTGGAGAGATCGATTGTATTTGGTCTCTGATTTTCTTAGAAACAGTGTTTTCACAAGTCCAATGGTTTACTTTATTGAAGTGAGAAATTAATTTTTAATGCAATAGTTTCCTTTCTTTTACTTTTGGTGATTGCAAAACTGCAATAAGAATACTTATGAATGTATGTCAGTAACTAAATTAATATATTGCTTTTGTCATTGTAGAAAAGTGGTGTTCTTTCCTTTTACTAGTTTATATCCACTCTGCAAAGCCCTCTTTCCTACAAAATCTAAAATTACTCTCCATAGCCACAAATAACAGACGTTCCATTATGGTTGTTAGGACTTGTACATTGTATGTAAATATACTGTGTGTAAAGGGGAGGGAGACACAAGAAAGACTTATCTTTGCTGTGGAATGTATGAGGAAACTTGATAAAATCTTAAAATGATACAAGTAATCTTATTTCTCCTTTGTTT